ATCATTATTATTATTATTATTATTATTATTATTATTATTATTATTGTCATAGCCAGGTGGGGAGCAATAAATAGATAGAGCCAATTGGGAGCGAGCATAGCAGCTAGCGAATTAGGAGTGTAGGTATTCCACAATGTCAGGAGGGTCAGAGAAAGGTTTTCCGTCAGCGGCCACAATATTTTGAACTGAGAAGCAACGCTGGCGAAAGAGGCGCCTCAGCATCTTAGGCTGTAGAAAATGGGCTACGGCGGTTGATTCCTCACGCTTTTCAAGGGCGAGTTTGGCCATGGTAATATCAGTCATAGGTTTGTTGATTAAAATAAGTAGGGAGAGATCATGGGATTAAAGGAAGAGCCTACGGTACTTCCTAAGTCTATGGCGTATAATCGTCTGGCTGGATGACAACCAGAAGCATAGGAAGCTTGTGCTGGGGAAACTAGATATAATGATGATAGTAAGTTGCCGTAAAAGTTGTTAGCCACGTTTCGCGTGTCACCAGAGAGAAAGAACTCGTCCCAGGTCTTATGGCGCAATGTGAGTGCAAAGGCTTCAAGAATGCCCGGGGAAAGGATGAAAGAGATTAAGGGAGGAAGAGTAGCTGAAGGTAGAGTAGTCGTCCAGCTGCAAGTTACAATACAATGGTCGCTGTCAGGAAACTTCGGGCCAACTGCAGCGGTGGGACACAGAAAGCCGTTGACAAGGGCAATGTCTAGGGTGTGGGCACAGCGGGTTGGTTGCCTTACAAGCTGGGACCAGCCTTCGAGATTAAGTTCGGCAAGCAGAGGCGAAAGGCGCAAAGGGGAGTTTAGTTGAGACCAGGCAATCTCAGGAAGGTTGTGAGTGAGATAACATCCACACAGCACCTACGGCTAATTCCATTCAGAGAAACAGTGGAATAACGTTCAGAAGCTTAAGACCATCCGGGCACAACAAATTCGATGAATATGTTCAGCAAAATTTGTCACAGAACACTTTTTGGGAGCTCGCATTACGTCCGGTATATAAATGAAAGAGAATTCGATGCACTGTGCAATATTAACAATAATAATGTTTATTCCCAACTTGATGATGTTAAGCACTCCAATGAACCATCCCCATTCTCTGATAGGCAGAACTAGATAAATGAAAGAGAATTCGATGCACTGTGCAATATATATTAACAAAATGTTTATTCCCAACTTGATGATGTTAAGCACTCCAATGAACCATCCCCATTCTCTGATAGGCAGAACTAGCCACTAGATAGTTCCGCGTTGTGAAATAACTGAATTTTACATAAAAAGCACATTTCCTTCTCACTGGGAATTAATACGCTCCTCAGGGAGAGTAGGTTATCAAGACCACATTAGAGGAAAATGGGGCTACCCATTGCCGCACAGTATTATAACTGCGCAAGTTCGATGCCCATAACTCTATCTCGCCGTCCAGGAAAAATATGCTTTAGCCCACATCTAGGTCGGATTCACTGCCACGACGCCACCAATTCTGCTTTTGTCTTCTAGGTGGTTGGTAAGCCCTGACTTCCAATAATCCATTCATTCAATGAGCCGTGACTGCCCATCCACCGGTGAACTACCCGATTTATCTTTTCGGTCGCCACTTAGACCTAACATCATCATGGACAACACGACAGAAGTTTTAATCCCTGAGTGCTTTCTGCCGTACAACCATGATTCATTCGAAAGCCCTACTGTGAAAAAATGTAAAGGTTGACAGGGAAGTGACTACGTGCCACATTTCTCCAAACATCTTAGGTGTCTACACCTCCCGACACTCATTCAGGCAATGTGGACAAAAGTAGCAACACGAACGCTATTTACATCCATTACCAACCGTAATTTGCAGCTTCTTCACCAAGCGCAGTAGGGATCGCCCAGACCCCATGCTGGTGGATGAGTATCACCAGTACAGAGTAGCATGGCTGTTTTAAGTTGGGCACGGCAAACTATTTCAGGCGAACGATGGTTCAGAAACTGGTCCAATCAACACAGATTCTGATGCTGGAGTCATTCTATAATGGAGGCTCCCTCGCACAACCGAAAACTCGCTTTCTAGTGGTCTCTTTATGGATTCGGCAACAAAAACCAACACGAGCTATGGTTATGAGAAAACAGTTCTCGAACACTTCAAGACGCTGCTCGAACAAGCCATATCTCACAGCCGTACTACAAGACAGCCCGCACTGTAGCCTGACGCAAATGTCATGGGTGTCTCAAATTTGCAAACATGACCCAAGCCAATCTGATTCGTGCTCTGACCCCATCTGTCACACCGCAATCAAGATTAATACAAACTTCCCATTTTGCGTAAAATTCTCAACTAGCTCGAGTGCCTCTTCGTGGGTTGGAAATGGTATATTCAGTGACCGCATATTCAGGAGCATGACCTTACAAAGTGTATACCTAAGGATAGGTGACTTTGGTCAGTTCATCCTAAAATACCCGCGCTTTCTCCTCTTCGAAGATAAGGACAAGTTTGTCTGCCTATTCTAAGTCAAAAAAAGATTTCATCAGGAGCTATTTGAAGGTCAGTGTTTTGAGGGCCTTCAGGCGTTTGTTCCATTATCTCATCGATCAACAAGTCAAGTAAGAACTGAGAATTTGGCCTCCTAGTGGACACTACGTTGTGTACGGAAGCCATATGAGTACTCCTCATGCACCCTCACACGTGCGGAAGTCTGAGAACGCAAAGAACTTATAATGTTCAAAATCGTCTGGAAGATTCCTTGATGAGTAAGCGTCTCAAGGAAAAAAGACCGGCCAGCCGAGTACTGCGCCTCAAAACTTTATGGATTGTTAAATTATGGGTCGTTTGTAGCTACTGCGCTGTTGTGGCACGTGACGGATGGTCCACGCCCTAAAGATCCACCGAAGTATTCCGCAACATGCGCGCCCTAACTGAACCTTCTTTCCCGCCGATTCAAAGAATGCACAGTTGACAAATAATTTTAACTCCATGCCCCCTCTCTAAAGACACACTTTCCCTATTCTGAACGCTACACTTCGTCTTCTGCAGTGGACGAAATTGAAGACTACAATCGAAGCAACTTTTGTCCGGCTATTGGGCTGCTGACCTGAGCTTGTCATTGGTGAGCCGTCGGGCAATCCTTCTATGGGTCAGGTAGGTGATAGATTAGCCAAAAATGTTAGTAGAGACTCATTTAATACGCGCGGTATAGCGCCTCAGATACACATCGTTTTGCAGAGCCTTCACGCTTTTTTAAGCTGAAACCGCGCCATTTTAGGCCACCTCAACGTACAAACACACGACATCACCAGACATCCACGTTTTTCTCTAATTTCCTGTCTATGTACGATCCGAGCTGACTTATTTGTTCGCAGTTTAGCTAATCTACGTTCCCGATGATTACATTTGCTCACCCATCATCACGACCGCATACGTGTTATCTGCACCTGCATATCGACCACTCTTTTTGAAGTCGGGTGTCACCTCACTGAAGTAGTTAGGAATTGAGTGCTTGCTACTGTGAGCCACAATCTAACTCATATCACAGTGCCTTCTAGCAGACCTATCAGACACTTGAAGTCCCCAATATAGACAAGGCTGTCTTATCACCCCATTTGAATGGGAGCTATTGATAGAGTGTACTTCGACGGACCCAAGAATATCCTTGCTTCACGCTGGTCTTAATTTGTCCCGATTCTTCGGGCAATCGGGACTAGCACGACAACCCAAAATGAGTCCCCTTGGATGATCTTGTACGGAGCCGTCCACGGACCCCAGTACGATGTAGCGATGGTGATACTGTGACTACCGTAAGCATATGATGGCTTGCTTGTGGTTAACTTATCCGTAACATTTCCAGGAGGAGCGTGTTACGCGCACTCACAAGGCCGTCTCAACCTGTTTGATTTGCGCCAGGGCTTGAAGGCACTGGCCACAGCGCTCTCTGATTGCTCTTCCCAAAACCCACTAACCCATTCAAATGGATCATCAAGGGGTGGTGCGCCCGATACAGCGTGTGCTGCGTATCATTTAAAACTTACTGGTTGTGGGGAATTCTTTAGATCCGTTTGGGGGACGCCTTCCATAATAAAAGACTTTTTTTATAAATATCGCATTCATCTGCCCCAATCTGAGTTGGCGCGTAAATAGAGGGCCTAATCGTTTTTAACAGTCTTGAGATTATTTCCAAATCCAATACGGAAGAAAACACCCGAAGAAACCAGGCTTTATGAAATATTTCCCACCACTTTCTCGGGGACTACACGCGAAGTCATTAGCAGTCTTTAAAATACGAATTCCGCCTTCACAATGGACATCGAGTGCGTTTAAACAACTTCTGACAGAACTGCTGCTGCATATGGAGATTTTGAAGGCTCGAATGAATACTGCCAAATGCCAAACTTTATGGCCGCAGGCTATTGACACGCCGAAATTGAGTTCGCCGAAACTATAGGGTTTTCGAAGTTGCCATTTTTTAGAGCTTTGAGGTCCCCAAGTTGAATAAGGCGCTAAGGTGGTTAGCTTGCTTGTCTGAAAATACCATACGCAAGAACGATGGTTAGAAATATCTCTTTATGACAAAGTGTATGCGTCCCGCAGACAGATTGTGCCTGCTTTGTTTTAATCATTCACATAAATTCAGTAGAGGCAACATGGCGCCGAAAATTGTCCTGGACGCCGGGTTGTTTGGCGCGTCGTGTAGCTGGTTGCTCCGGCTGGTCCCTGTTTAGTCCGCCAGCTTATGTGCCCTTGTATTCACCGCGTTCTTTCAGAATCGAGGTGAACCTGTCGCCTACTTTCCCTCAGCTGCAATCCTGGTGCTTTAGTGTTGCGTATGGAAGGTAATCAATGCAACCGTACTTTCAAACCGTATTTAGTTTACACAGGTTATTCAGGTCATTCATCGGATTCAGTTAACCATCGCGCCAAAAGAATGGGTGCTGCCAGGGGACGTTCGGAGTCTGGCTTTCCTTCGGCCAACCACCACAGACCTCAGAAGAATGCTATCCGTGTTTGCGGAGATTGGTCGGAGCAGCTTAGTTCAAAGGGCAAAATTTACTTCTATAACTGTATCACAGAGGTATCACAGTGGCAAAAACCTCCAGAATGGAAGCTGCCGGATATGGACCAGGATGAACTTTTGAGGCTCCTCGGATCCCGGGAACAGGGAGATGGTATGTACACTCGAAGTCTTAAGCTTACCTTTTGTTCTTTTAGGCAAAAATTTGAAACGACCGCGCGTCTCTGCTTCTGCCAGCACGAACAGTAAGGAGGAGGGTTATGATGTGCGGGTATCCCCTAAACGAAGTAAATATTTAACTGACGTCCGTCCTAAGAGCCAAACCGCTGCCCGGAAAGTGTCCCCTAATTCTTTACCGGACGCAGCTCATTGCGCGTCAGATATAACGGACAGAGCCAGTAGCCAACGACCCCACTCGAACCCGCGCTTAAGCCCAAGAAGAAACCGTAGGTTTCCAATTCTCATCTCATCATTCGTAGCAGATGACCGCAGGGTATGTCCTACACTTCCTAATCGAAGACACGCTCCGTCTAATGGCCCGCTTCGGTTACATCCAAATGATGACATGGACATTTCTCCAAACAGTTCGCCCATGTCCGGCTGCAGTGGTTCCTCGCGCTCCGCACTGAACAACCAGTCTCCGCATTTCTCGAAATGCGGTAGAGTGGATTATGGACGCAGTCACGCTCCAAGGGCTGTTTATGATCCTTTGAGGACACGAGGCTTGGAGGTCTACAGCAGTAACTCCACGCACTCGGGTGAGTTTCATTAGAGCGTCCGGCAATATAATATATTTATATTTTATATTCAGTGCCCCCACAACCACTCTCAATAGGCATTGGGTGGTCGGTTGCTGAAACAGGCATCTACACGATACCTATACCAGCTGCGGTTACCTAGGATTGGAAATTCGGTGTAACAGGTGGCGCGCCGCAGAATCTATTTTACCGTTGCAACAATACCAGTAACTGCCAATCATTGCAACCCATGTTTGGAGCAGTCGTCTAGCACAAAATAAGATGCACCCGCAGTTGTTACCTCCAAGGCGCGGACTCAAGAAAATACCGGAGAGGTGGAAGGTGAATTTGGATAGGATTCTCAGTCCATTACAGTATCGTAATAAGGCTCATAAAATTTTTGGCTTGTCAGCTGCTCGTTTGCATACTCATCTATCCGAAGATAATCGGAGCCACAGTATCTTCTATCCCATACCGGGTCGTTGGGTCCTTCCGTATCTTGTCCCCTTGGCAAGCTTTCACTGACATGCCTGCGATTTGAACGCACAATGCTTTGGGTGAAACATTGACCGTAGCTGCGGTAGTTTAGTGGAAGCTGAACGAAGCCACAACAGCCCTGTAATGGATACATCCAACGCGATAAAAAAATCTCAATACAAACGGGTTCTAGCACATGAATAAGGTGGACTGTTGCTTCCAAAAAGCGGTAGTCGTAATTCATTGTACTTAGGTTCTATGCTCTGGAACCATGTGGCAGAATAGGGTAGCAAGTTTCTCAAAATTCATCCGAATTACTTCCTCTCAGAGTTTACTATGTGGGTTTGTTACTCTTGAGGAATAGAACGAGTTCCTGCGTCAATCTCTGCATTCAGCCTTCTCTAGTTTCCTCGGAGTACCCGTTGACTTCTATCAGGTTTCTTCGGTGAACTGCCACTTATCCAAACACTTTGATGTGCTGAGCTTAAAATCACGGACCATAGACAGCCCTTTAACAGCGCGAAAATACCCTCTGAAGGGAGCCAAATGGCTCAATGGTTAGGGCTCGAATTTACTTACACGAAGGTCCGTGGTTCAAACCCAACCTCCATCTAGACTCTTCCTGTCTAGGCTTAGGCAGCTTGGCAGTATCCCAGCCCTCGTACTTTTTTCAGTGGCATGGCAACTAGGCATTGAAAGGGTGTTACAACTGAACGGTTTTTTCCCCTTGGAAGCCTGAATCATTGTACAACGATCCTATTGTCTTCGTGCGTCCGTGAATGAGAAATAACGATAGTTTAGTCTGACGTGTCGTTTACATACTCAAAGGGAAACAAGAGATCTTACGCGACCCCGCTAATTACTGTGATTTATCCATTGTTTCCTGAACCTTCACTCCAGATGGCCTGGATCTACCTTTTCCCGTGGTTTCGCTTTCATATCTGGTTTGAAACTATCGTAAATGACTTAAGCGTTGACTTTCTAGTACGCAGGATGCGGAAACACCGTGGTACAGTGATTCTCCGAAGGCAAGGATTTGTGAGAATCATCTCGGATACAAAGTAGAAAGAGACCCCATGAACCGAGATTCAGTAAACAAGGCTGCATTCTGAAATCGACTGTAAACTATAATATGACTACATGATGGTCAAAATGAGAGCCTGAGAAGGATGCTGACCAACAATTCCTGGCTGTATGAGATTGCGCATACGTCACGATGTAAAGTTCGTGGGACCAATTCGCACCGAGATGTTTTCCAGGCCTGAACATTTCATGTTTTGTGCAAATACCGATGACACTACAACCTTGTAGAGTGCTAATCGAATTAGTTTCTTAAGTTCTCTTGTGTCGGGCACCGATGAGACATTCCGTTGATTTCACCGCACCTTCGGGCACCGCCTTGTACTACTGTTGCATTGGTTACACTGAAGTTACATTCAATAAAAACAAGGACGGGTGAAGGGAAACCCTAAAGTTGGTAAAAAATTACTTGTTTCCGTTGTAGCCAGGCCTTTTCGAAACACAGTCGGTTTCCAGGCCATATGGGTACTAATCCTTCGGGCCCCAATCAGGTCGATGTCAGCTTTGCTCGGTTTTAACTCACAAAAATGGTTGAGTAGTGCAATGTCCAAATTGCCTCGCAGGTAGCAGTCACGCAGAGATTTAGAGATCCGGGTTCCCTTTCGGCTTCGTCGCATCTTGATACAGTTTTCGTCAAAGGATCCCTAGTTCGAATTTACGTTGATTTCTGGACTCCGTTCAGGTCCTGACGGCCCGGCGATGTTCCGACCACTGCGTTTCTGTTCGTTCAGTTGTGGGTCATACCTTGGCGATTTCCATTTTGCATAGCGCTTCACGGCCAAAGACGTGCGGTTCCTTGCCTACACTAGGTTCCTGCCTAAATATTGGGCATTATATTCTCCATCACGTGGTGATAGTTTAGAATTTTCCCGTTATCACGCATGTTTACGAATCACTCGGCGGTTGACCTGATGGATGTTGGCTGGTGTAAAATCGAGAGATTGCATGAATCTCGCCTAGTTAGAGGGATTTCCCTACTGGGAATCAAATTAAGATTGATAAATGCAACCCCTGGGGTGTTGCATCTACAGTTTGCAAAGGCTATGAGGCTACAGTGATCGGATCGAAGGTCTTACGCTAGATGTGGTGCAAAAAAAGAATACTACCACGCTTCTGTTCATCAACTTGCGATATGTAGGCCAGTTTGCAAAGGAAGTTTCGCTAGCAAAATAGTAGCAGGGCAATCAGTACAAGTTTTCCGTAAACCTTCTTGTGAATAGCAGGACCAATGGGGAATCTTGTAAAACACACGAGCACAGATAGTCGGGCTCAGTTCAGTTTATCAGCTATAAACATTACCAAATTTACGTTGGTTCCAGCTACAACGGTTTCCGTCACCGGAACTAAGGGAGCGTGAGGCACATAGCCAAGGATTGCAGGCAGTAGAACAGTCAGTTGGTTCGTATTGGATCAGTTTATTTATTTGGTTGAACAAGAAACTGCAGCTGCACATTAAATCTTTTGTTCAGTAGCGCCACTGACTGCGTGCAGTCTGCCAGTATCATTAAATACTAATGAGTTGAGCCTCCCAACATCAAATAAGGTGGCCGCTATCAGCCCTACAATTCTCTTTATACCGCTGTCCTAATTCATTGCCATGTCTTACTGATCACTTCAATCGCATTTAGTGAGCACAGGGTTCGGCAGAAAGATCCCTGTCCTAATCGGTCTAGCCAATGAAACATGAGTAGCTCACCCTTTTCTTAAAACCATCTGCCATACCTCAGCAGTGCTAGTCCGGCCAGTATTTTGAAAATATCTGTGGTCAACGGCTGAGAGTTTTCCTGCATCATCTCCGCGTAGAAGCTGCGTTTCTTCGGCGAACTGACGTCGCGCGTGCATCCTAGATGTCGGAAGTTGCCAAAAGCTGGTCTTCCTGTTGTAACTTTCTGAAGGGTGGTGCAACTATGTATCGGTCCCTTAGCTTCCTGCGCCGCCCAATATGGTATATCAAAAGGCACGGTAGCTCTACACAGCCCTTTATGGAGACAAAGGAAAATCATTACAACTGTATTTATGGGGTAGTCGCAGAGTGTTCCACAAGGTCGTGCCAGAATCTCCGTGAGGAGGCGAGAAGCGTCGAGTCAAAGGTGTTTGACTCGGGTTGGCTGGTATTCTGACCCATCAGGGCATGCCTTTGTTTGGCCCGTGCCCTGCACGTGACACACCAGTCCAAATGATGTGTTGTTCGGTTATTAGGGACGGGTGGCCTCCGTGCACTTCCCGACTTGGGAATTAATATCCTCTTCGGCCCATCCACCGGAAGATATACGGATGTCCATGTCGATTGGTTAGTCTGCAAGCATGAAGTTTTCGTTTGTTCCCGTACAGTCTCGTAGCAGCACTTCAAATTTTGCAGCTGCGAAGCGCATATCAGTCCTTGCTACAGTGTTATTTAGGTTATTTTGAACGACTTGCATCTTTTACGGATCTGAACCATGCGTAGCAATATCCAACTCGTTCTCAATGTCTGTGAGCGAGCACATAGGAGAATTTCAGTCTCAGGAAGGCCAGATTCCTGTAAATATTCCAGAAGACCTGAAACTCCAACAAAATCTCAATAAGGAAGCCGGCAAACATCCATTCCAGTCAGTCTATCAATCAATTCAACAGCTTAAATTCAACCACCAAATTCCGCCCCAGATGCAAAGTCCGTTGACTCGATCGCCAACAGCATCAATTCAACAGTTAAAATCAAACACCAAATTCCGCCCCAGATGCAAAGTCCGTTGACTCGATCGCCAACAGCATCACGTAGTCCCTTTGTGAGCCTCGTGCTGGTCTAACCTTCGATACGTGGTTCAGACGTTTCAAAGTCGAACTGAAACAGGGCTGATGCTTAAAGTGTGCGATTGTTGCTCGGAAAACCTGGTATAGCTTAACACGGTATTTTAACTTCATCCTGTCAAGGAACATGCTGGATCTCAAGTTTGACAAACCGTGCAACAACCCGCAACAATTTTCGGGCAAACGATGGTTTGGCATGCGCAAAATGTGGCCTAACCAAAGCAGCTTCTGGTGCTGGCCGCATTCTTTAGTGGAACTCCCCATTGCACACCCGAAAACTCGCCCCATATTTGCCTTGCTACGGGTTTTCCTACACCAACCCGCACAAACCGTGGTCCTGAGACGACGGTTGCCGAGCAACTGAAGATGTCTCGGTTTCGTTGGTTGAGCAGGCCATAAAACAAAACCAAACAACCCGCACTGTAGCCCGATACACACGTCCCTTGTGATTCAGGGATATACCGCTTTGACGCCATAGGTGTCTTAAATTATGAAACGCGACCCGAGCCTTGCAAATTCGTGCATCCACCTCATCTGTCACACTACAATCATAGCGAATACAACCTCGAGGATGCGTAAAACGCTATACAGCTTCGATCCTCTCCCTGGATTGTAAATTGTGTGTTTAGTGACTGCATGTTCAGGAGCATTGCCTTATATTTTGTGGGTGCGAAGTGCATACCAAATGACGGAATGCCTTTGGTTAGTTCATCCAAAAACACCTGTGCCTTCTTCCTTTCGAAGACGATGACGATGTCATCTGCGTAGTCTATATCGACAAGGTTTACGTCACAGGCTATTTGAACACCGGGATTTCGAAGATCTCCCAGCGTTCGTCTCATTATTTCGTCAATAACGAAATTAAATAGGAATGGAGACGGTGGGTATCCCTGACGGACACCGCTTTGTGTACGGAAGCTGGGAGAGCTCTTCATATACTCTGACAAGTCCGGAAGTCCGAGAATACAGAAAACGTATGTTCACAAACTTCCGGGGTATATCTTTTTGGGCGAGCGTCTCAAGGAGAACAGATTGGTCGACGGAGTCGAATGCATATTGGACATCCAGGAGCACCCCCTCTGGTTACCACGCGCTACGAGTAATCATGCTACGAGGTGATCTGGGCGTAAAGTCGTACTATCCTCTGTGACAGGAGTGTGAAGGAAGGCAGGTGTTCCCCAACATATCCATTTTTATGGAAGCAGCGATGCTGACTCCCCTCAAGGAAGGACGGGTTAGAATAGGTCAGCCCTAAAAACCGCACACTCCGATCGTCCAACGGTTGCCCGTGAACATTGGAGCATCATTCAATACGGTCGAATGTCTCTTGGACACCCAGGAAAGCCCCCCTCTGGTTACCACAGGTTGCCCTGTGGGGCGTAAGCAGACACGACAAAAGGATATCTGTCAACTTCGCGGTTGTGAGACTCCTTCTCGGACGTTGTCGGAGGCGACTGTCAACAGGTATCCAATAAAGAAAGGACTTAGGGTGATTCCGACCGCTGCACATCCCGCCGCAGCAGCCGCTGGATCTTCAGAGGTGCGTAACCGAAAGTAAGCGGAGAGTGCTGTGGCGGTTGTCTCAACCACTGTGCTTGCATCTTGAATTCTTGTTTCATTGACACAGCACACGTCAATGTCAAGCGAGTCTAATATGACAGCGTGGGCAGCTTGTTCTACTTGCATCAGAGTAAGGACCTTGAAGGCGGCTAGATAGATTGGTTTGAAGATTGACTTAGCGATACCTGAGGATGTCGGCGTCATGCGACGGGCAGATGTTGCGCGCTAAACCGATGCCATACGAACGGAGTCATCAGTCCTAAGTGCTAGACTTACGAGGAGGGAGTTATTAATGGGGTGGGGAGGGAGTAGATGGGAAGAAAAAGTGGAGAGGCGTCAGCAATAGCCTGTTTTCGCTTACTCGCCCTGCTCTTTACAGTGAGTGAGCGACCCGGCTGATGACACCACGCGACGGCCGATTTGGCATGAAAGTAAGTAAGTGTCATGGTTGTACGTGGGCTGGGACATTGTCAGGGCGCCTATACTTAGGAGGACGATTAGGGTCCTCAACCAAAGCCTTTCGCTCAAAAGCCTAACCGCAAGACAGCGGTGTTTGGCAGGAAATGCAAATGCATCACTGTTTCTACGGAACAAGTCGCCGCATGTTCCAACTCCTAACCTGGGGGGCCAAGAGACTGTTTCTCAAACCTCTAATCATTGATCAATCTCGTATGAAGGACTCTGAGTGTCGCGGGGACACCCCCAGTATGGCTCAATGGGTCGATGAGGTGCGCAAACCGTCACACCACGGTAAGGTCCAGTTCTCTGGATCACCAGGGAAATGTCAAAGGGCTAAGTTAGTCGTTGGCGTTTTTATATGTATAACCACGGTTGGGTCTTATGTGCGTATTTCGGAGACGCAGGATACGTCAATTTTAAAGGAGTATAAGATTACCGCGTGCATTGCATGTTTGCTTATTTGACGTCGAGTACGGACGTTAAAAGCTGCAATGTAGAAAGAATCTCGTGGATTTAGCCAGGTGTTATTCTGTTTGTTGTTAGTAGGCATCCGGATTACCCACTGAACAATGCGTCGACGGTCACGCTCAACCGTGAAGTTTTTAGGGTCGAACCTTTCTAACCTGTCCTTCCTCGGGGAAGGACATACTGGTTGCCTGGAGGAAACTGCCTCCCTGTCGCAGAGAATAGTACGGCTGCTTCGTAATCCGATTGCTCGCCGTATGGGAACTCGCTATTCGTTGGGTTTCTGCCCATTGTTCTTCCTGACACCTTTGAACGTTTAGGAACTGAGGTCCAGTATAGCCCGCGGGCCGAAGGCCAACCTTCAAGTCAAGATGGCAGCTGTAGGTCGGGAAAGTAGTTCGCCCAGGTATCGAACTTGAAACCTCTCAGATAGTAGACCAGTGCGCTATCTGCTCCCCCAACTAGATTTCGGGAGCCATCGAAAGTGCTCACTCACTCACGAAGAGACTTACTGTGACGTGACGGTTTGTCTACCTCGGCGACCCACTGAAGTATACTCTCGCAACGTCCATCATACAAGGTTGGTCAGTGGTTAGAGGTTTGACGAACAGCCACGTGGATCTCTAGGCTTGATGTGGGACGAATCTAGTTAGTTGTTCTGTGAAAGTTGAAACTCCTTACATCTCATGCTGCCTTATGGTCCGGCTTTTGAGTCAAAGGTTTTGGTTGAAGACTCTAATAGTCCTGTCTAGGTGTGGGCTCTATGGTAGTGTCCAGCTTACGTACAACCATGAGTTGCGGATGCCCAGTGCTCCCTGCGACCACATAGGCGATGAGCATCCAAGCAGTACGATTCTGAATTTAATCCTACTGTGAGATAAATGAAACTCTGGGCCTTTCGTTGGTAAAAAATTGCCATCAACTGAGTTAAAAGACGTACCCCGGGAGCTACGGTGACAAGTTTTGCCACGAATCCAACACAAAGCTGTTCTCATGTCTCCCCTGAAAATCAAATCCAGGGTCATTCGATCCTAGTTGCACCCCGAACACCATATGATAGCAAGGTGCACTTGACTTTCCATAAGGTCCGCCTGACCAAACCAGGGTCGAGCCGGCACTGGTAGTCCCACCATCGTTCGTTTGTGACTACTTGTTCATCTTGAGTAGATTATTCACAGCTCCACATCCATTAGGGATCATAATTCCCCTGCCTTCTACTCAAGGACCGGTCTAGAAGACGGAAACTTACATTCCGAGTAATCACGTGCCTCGATGCTGGACAAATGAGGGAGAACGCTCTGTCCCAAAATTGATGAGAAAAGCCACAGTAGTAAGACACCAACCTTTTCCCTGCTGTGCCTAGGTTGATGTTCTGACTGCACTGTAAAAAGAAACGTAGTCTAGCGACCGAAAGCTAGTGATGTGAAAGCTGCACGTTGAACAGGTTTTTCGGGTTTAGGCTACTCGGTTCGATCAACGGATTAGTAAAGCAGTCTGACTCCCGGTTGTCTAGCCCTTCAGTCAAACACAGCAGTCTTCACCTGGCTTTTTTCAACATTTCACGCGTTAGGAGAATGAATTTCTTTCGTTGGGCGCATTAGTTGTGCTGGATTCGAGTGTCTTACGTCATGCGAATGATTGCCTCGCTATGCATCTGCCGCATGCTTGCGTCCGGATCGATGTGATCGGCTAGATAGTGGGAAGACTATGATTATCTGTTTTGGATACTGGAAACCCATCGGTGGTTAGCTTGACTGACGGACGTACTACGACCCCTATGGGGACTTACAGCTTCTTACGTATACTTGCGTTCTGCTGGCATGTTCCTCACAGTTTCCACAATGGATACTGTGTATGGACGCTATTGAACTCTAAAATTTCAATACTGATGAGTTGTCTTCACAGTGACCCATTTATTGCTCGATAGACAGTGGGGTGGGTGGTACTAATCGACTGAATTTTCTTCAACAAACTACTTTCGGTTATTTAGGCCCTAGTTTGTACATCGTTATATTTTTTTTACTACAGTCTGTCCCGAAATAATGTTTTTTATTAATCCGCCGAGTTGATTGCGCCACCGAAATTTCATGCAGGCCTTACTTCTGCACGTTTTTCTTGCAGAGAAACCTCCCGCTGGATCGTTGCGCCACCTGGTTGATGCTATTCGGGCCTCTATTGGTGGCTTATTAAGTCATTCACCGACCTCTTCCACAAGGGCGGCGGAGCGCGAATCTCCCGGTACCGATCGCGTAGACTACGTTTCCCGGCCAGCCTACCCCGGCACCCGTGAACTGCTCTATCCACAAGATAGTCGGCACCCTCCTTCTCCTCATGGTTCTGTTGACAGGCAGAAACGCGATCGCCAATTTTGGTCACCTAAGCGGATCGTGAACGATTCATCCTCATCTTTCGGTTCACAAACAGAAGAGAATCGAACCTGTCCTCGACCCGATGGTCCTTCTCATCTGTTATCCGATCCTTCACAAGAGCAGCACCGATTAGGTATCCAGAACAAGGTGAGACGCTTGCGACATTAGTTGTTTCTCACCACCCCGCCTCACCTTTACATAAGTTAGTCGTGCTTCATGTTAAGCATCGGTGTTGAACACTGGTGTCATGCTGTCGATGATGATGACCATGTTAAAACCAAGCAGAAATTTACGAATTGTGGTTGAAATGCAGACGGTAAGTCTCCTCCATCGATCCGCCCCACGTCGAACTAAGATTCGATCAGTTAGGCAAAACTCGTGCAAAGCATTCGGCAGGAAAATTGGCCGTCAACTTAATGGCATGTGGCTGACTTCACACCTGTTATATGTGAGCGAAAATCATCGGCGTATACCTAGTTGACATCGCCCCTTAGTTGTCCGCAAGTATCACTCTGCACAGCATCAGTAAACGTCGTGAAAACCATGCAGGATTTCGTGCAGGTCGTGAATAGATCTATCATAACTTCACTGCATAACTAAGTTTCGGACACCGTCATATGCATTGGAGGCTAACAATCGTGGCCTCCTTAAATCGAAAAGTACTGTCCGAATCAGTCGTTAGCGCTACTTTGGATCGATATATCGGACCGAACACTCATCACACTCATCCGCTCCTTATACTCCATCGCCCATGAGCACGTGAAAGTGTACAGGGAGTATTCTCCCGAGCTCACCACAAAAAGTGTCCATCCGGACAATCCCTCCGTTTTCAACTTCTTAGTCCACTCATCAATGATCATTTGCTGTCTGGTGTAGAGTTCTCACTCGGGGAAGACATCAAATATACAGATTCCATCCAATTTAAGTGATGTCATCATGCGATCGCGCTACCAACGCTGGTCATGGCATCAGAACCCTTAGAAATAGTGAGTAGTTGCACTACGTCGGACGGCAGCATTGCTGACGATATGGACACTAGAATCTGCATCTAGAGCCGACGTGAGATGGAAGGTTGTGGCCCATTGTGAAGTCCCACTCATGTGCCTTAAAATCACTGTGTCCGTGCTATGGTAACATGTAATTAGCAATGCTTGAAGGGTGGATAATTTTTAGAAGTCATCTGTATGTTCAGTCGGAGTTGGTTCAGCTGCACCACTTAAATGGGCAGCTAGTTCATCGATTGCCTCACCGTGACCTGTTTGTTGAGGCGGATTCAGACTGGAAGGTACCACAAGTTGAACAGCGTACGACCTCGGAAAATCTGATTTCACAAAGGCTATGCTGCTTAAGACGTACCCTGAAGTTACCGCGTTTCCCAGTCAGTGGTTACCGGAGAGTGTTGTAACTTGCTGGACGGTAGTGCAACGTGGTTACCGGGTTGTAACTTGCTGGACGGTAGTGCAACTCTGTGTCGGTCCCTTGGCTTCCTGCTCCACCCACTATGGTATAGCAAAAGGAAAGGCAGCTGTACACAGCCCTTTATGGAGACAAAGGAAAATCAGTACAACTGTTTATATATAGGGTAGTCACAGAGTGTTCCACAAGGTCGTGCCAGAATGTCCGTGAGGGGGCGAGAACCGTCGAGTCAAGGTGCTTGACTCGGATTGGCTGGCATTCTGACCAATCAGGGCATGCCTACGTCTGGCCCGTGTCCTGCACGTGACACATGCATCCAACTGATGTGATGTTCGGTTATTAGGGACGGCTGGCCCCCGAACACCTCCCCCTTGAGAGGGCTGTCCAACCGACTGCTGCTTTGGACTCCACTGTGATGACTCACGGAGGTTCTGTCGCACGTCGGTCCGTCCCTGGGGCTGCCAGCATGCTGATCTGGAATCCGGTACCCTCCACTTGGGAGGTATGTCACGGCTGTCCGGTTTCCAATGCGACGTGGTCCCCTCCCAGACCGCAGTCTGTTGCCTGAAGTTGGTTCACTTGACGCGGATGTGCTGATGTTCTTACGTGTGCCTCGTGTTTGACATCGTCGACCCTGCGTCCACCGTGGAGAGCATTCCTCATATATTTGAATCGGTGGCTGGTCTCTGTGTGACTGTTGTGGCGTCCCTTCTGCCGGCCCCACTTCCTTGACTTTCCGGATAGCAGTAGGACGATCCGCCTGAACCTGCGACTGTAAACTGAACGGTTCAGATCGCGGGTGAAACGTTGCGGGCTGCTGGGAGGGTTCACCAAATTGCACTGAGGTGAGAGGGCTACCGCTGCCGGACGCCAGAAGCTGAATAGTCGCTGTGTCGCGTATGCTCCATCTGGTCTCCGGTTTGGCTGCAACTGTAGCGACCACAAAATCGTCAGGACGTGATGTTCTCGTGAACGTATCGGGGCCGTTTGCAGTTGTTTCGTCACAAACGGCATTGAGGGGTTCATCCAACAGTTGAAGCTCATTAATCCAATCCAGGCCCAAGAGATCAAGGCCTGTGTAGTTCGTGAGGTAACAAGTGCCACTGAGATGAATTCCCTTGAACGTTACGGAACAGTTCAGCTTCCCGGTCAGTTTGAGGCTTCCACCAGATGCATTACGAACGATGCACTTTGTGGGTTCCACTGGTGGCCTTCCAATTTCGTTCCAGGTTCGTTTTGAAATCAGAGTGAGGTCAGAACCTGTATCCAGTTGGAGAGTAACTGGTGTGCCATTGATACATAATGTGACAAATTTACGTCGACCAGGTGATTTCATCCTGAATGTGGCGGTCACAGCCTCTGCCTGCGTCCTTTTGTCGGGTCGGTGTTTGCGCGAGCTCCTGAAGTTGTCTCTGCAGCATTCTTCTTTGTGACCCTTTCGACTGCACTTACTGCACCTGTGGTTCCGGTAGGGACAGTGGCGTGAATAGTGCCATTCTTCACAAAACCAACAGGGTGTGGGCGGTTTTCTTGGAGTTCGTTTTGAACTTGACTTCCTTTTGGAAGTTACTTTGCATACCATATCCGGCTGAGATAATTTGGAATGTCCAATCATGGCAGCATCAGCCTTGAGATTGATAAGATGCTGGCATTCGGTGGTAAGTTTCTGAAGCGTCAACTCTGGATCCTGTTCAATTCGATTCAGTAGCCGGGTCCGAATATCTGCATCGTGTGGTGATTGAAGACCAGCCACAAAGATGAGACACTTGAATTGATCCTCGGTCATGGAGCTGAGCTGAAAGCGCTCGCATTCTCTGTTGACCACACCGGCATATGTGATGAAATCCTCAGTATCCCTTTTGGTAATCTTGAGACACTGATAACGAATATTGAACAAGGAACTTTGCTCACCGAATATTTGGGCCAGAATTTTGACAGCATCTGCGAAACCAAGGTCACGAGGGAGTTTGGGGAGTATGAAATTTGTGAACCGATTGTGTTCAGCTGTCCCCAGTTTCCGCAGCAACAGTCGAACTTTCCATGCATCATCAAACTGAGCAAAGTCGGTTTGAAACATGTCTTCATATTTCTTGAACCAACTTTCGAAAGTTCGTCCAGATTCAGCATCAAAATTGAATTCGGTAATTGAGCTGGCAGCAGCATCTGCGGAAGAAGACGGAGGCTCACCCTTTTTTATCGCATTCACCGACATACTGCGCATCAGAGATTCAACAAGCCTCAGTTGTGCTTCTTCGAACTGCTTCTGTTGTTGCTGTAAAATTAATTGGAGTTGCTCTGCCGAAATTGACATCGTGGGTTCGGGTTGTCGCCAGTTGTTATATCTTGCTGGACGGTAGTGCAACTCTGTGTCGGTCCCTTGGCTTCCTGCTCCGCCCACTATGGTATAGCAAAAGGCACGGTAGCTGTACACAGCCCTTTATGGAGACAAAGGAAAATCAGTACAACTGTTTATATATAGGGTAGTCACAGAGTGTTCCACAAGGTCGTGCCAGAATGTCCGTGAGGGGGCGAGAACCGTCGAGTCAAGGTGCTTGACTCGGATTGGCTGGCATTCTGACCAATCAGGGCATGCCTACGTCTGGTCCGTGTCCTGCACGTGACACATGCATCCAACTGATGTGATGTTCGGTTATTAGGGACGGCTGGCCCCCGAACAGAGAGTTTGGACTTAATCATTTAATCGATACTGTGTTGCCCAGCGTATGGTTGATCTGCAGTTCTCAGTGGTTAAAGCGCGAATTTACTGATCGGAAGGTCCGTGGTTCGATTCCACTACCTCTCGACTTCCATTGTATAGGCTTGGGCAACCTCACAGTATTCCCAGTCGTCGTGCTTCCTTTGGGTGGCATAACAGCTAGGCACAGAAAGGGTGTTACAGCCAAACGATTTTTTAGTACGTAGTTCAATAATATAATGATACAACTGAGCCCAGTTTGGGCTTAACCGCCATTAAGCATTGAAGACATTTAAGTAATAAATAATAGTATGGGTGTTGCACTCATCCGGTGCACAGCTGCTGTGCAACTCCGAGGCACGCTAGCTGAGATACTGGCGGACTGTTCAAGCTTAGACACGTGTAATGGAAAAGTCACTGTTGGGTTTGAAGTACGGATCTTTTGGCGGCATTTAATGCGCCTCAGGCAGCGAAGATATTGAGCATGAAAAATGCCAAAACCAGTGACTTTGGAAAACTGTTCTGCCTGATGAGCAGCTCCTGAGAACACCAAGTGCCACATCCCTCAAGAAGCGAGCGTAACCCACCGAGAAAATGGTCAGATATTTGATCACCACAGAGTAATGTTTAACCACCCAGGTACTCAGTCCGTAGTCCTCAAGCTCTCAACGCCCTCACCCCTATACATCGACTGCACCAATTGTATCCTACCTAGGTTAATGACAACATAATATTCGATCAGCCGGCGAACTTTACTTATGTTACTCCCTTAACACCTGATAGAGCGTCAAGTTGTGGCTGGCGCAGCCTATACCCGCTGGAAATTCCTTTTACTTCTCACGGGTCACTGTTTCGCATGCTATCGTAAAACGACGAGGAATCAATGGCGTTAGAAGCCTTGTCACAAGTGGAGTCAAACTATCACTGCGAGTGCCTTTTCCCAAAAATGGGTATTTAACATCGACTTCTTCCAGTTATCTGGTTAAAACGCCATTGAGACCAGGAGCCCGATGACGCTCGAGTAGACTTGTGCACTTGTGAGGTTGGAGGGTGTCCCATATTCACAGTTCACCTTTCGGTTGAGGTCCGGCTTTGCGGATTAAAGGTGGAAGTTAGCTCGGCGTAATGTGCCCAGTGTTCCAAAATTTCCTTTCTGCTGGATATCAGAAGGCCACTTTGACTCCGATAGTTTTTTCGCTTACAAGGGGCTTACGAACAGCAGTCTTACGAATCAAGTGTACGACCTGCGGGCGTTTCCATAGGTATTTGCGTCATCCATTTATATTACCTTTCTGATATCCGACTTCAGACACTGGAGGCGTCAGTTCTGATAGTTTTCCTTTCGGTGTCCACTAACTTCTAAATGTGTGCGCTTTTTCCGTGAATCTGAAGACCAGCAGCGAAGTGCATGAAGTCCACGCTGGTATTCCAGGAGAAGCAGTAGGCAGTGATCTATTTGGGTTCTGGACTGGTCTGTTGGTGTATACCACGTGGTCGAGTGATTTCCGCTGTTGCGGTAATGGGTATCGTAAAAGATCAATCTGTGGTCAGCACATATGCGTCTCGTATCCAACCCAAGACGACCACCTAATTGCCTTTAATGTGTAGTATCGGTATTTTTCTCAGCTTAGTTCTCGGTCTCAGCCTCCCAAGCTAGCGTTCACGCCAAAACAACCACCAAAGGTGTACAACGTATATTAACACCCAAAATGAAGTCAGGAACACTTGTACAGTGCTTCACGTATATGGCGCAGGCGGCAATAACTTTCTGGAAATTCTGACGCGTTCTAAGTGCGCCATTGCAAACCGGCGTTCGGCCAATACTGAGTCATGATTGGCTGTTAGTTCCAAAATTTCGATCAATCAGATCTCGGCTTGATGCCGGACCGACAAGCGTCCCGAATTCTTGGCCAATCTTGCGTGGGATAGACTTCTAGGCCGTAGCAGCACCTGATTGCGAACGGTAAAGCGGGATCCTTGTGGAATTCCGCCTAAGTGTCACTCAATCTACCTACCTTCATACTTCCAACAACCACAACGATATTTGAGCTTTTAACCCTTTGTAAAAGACCGCCTAGAGCATCATGTTAACTGCATTTGGCGGATTCAGAGCTACAGCCCGACAACTTGGGAAACGAACTCCAGAGGCGACTGTCAACAGGTTTCCATTCAAGCAGAAATGCTTCTGCTCAGTTGCTCGGCACGATGCCCACCGCAATTGCAGCAGCCTCCGGTTCATCAGAGATGCGTGAGCGGAACACGAAAGAGGGGACAGTGAGTTCAATTACAGTACTTTATCCTTGTTTCGGACAGACAACACATCAATGCAGAGGGAATCCAGTGTACCAGCAAGAGCCGCTTGTGCCCTGCTTGTCTCGTGTGAACAATAAAGGCAGCTGTGTAGACGGGCTTTCAGGGTTTGAAAACTGTTCGATGTGTTTAGGTTTGGTACTCAAGTCGGATGCACTGAATCTGCAGCTGATCGTAATACAATGAGAACAAATTCGTCAATCCTAGTACTGACGACCACCCCTACCCTTGGGCGGGGGGTTGGGCAAAATAAGGGAAACGTGAAAGTTTAAGAAGGGGGGCGTCAGCAGTAGCACGTACGCGCTTACTCGCCATCAAGCAAGGTAACAGTTTATGATACCGCGCGACGTTAATGGTTTATGTGGGTTAGGATACTTTCAGCTCACTTGGACGGGAGAGTAACGTATTGAACGCAGAATTTTGGCCCAAAAGCCTGACTGCAAAGTAGCGGGTGAGTGCCGGCATACTACTTCAATAGTACAGTTTTTCACTAAAGGAGCTGCTGTGTTCTCTGGGGAACCAGAGAACTTTTCATCAGACCTCTATCCACCTCTGTCTATATTGATAGAAAAAACTCTGCGGGTGTTGAACTGAACCCGTCATACCAACATAGCTCAATTGGTCACAGCTATACACCGCGGTAGGTTCCAGTATCTGCAGCTTAATTATGGCAATGCCAAAGACAGTGATTTTGAAAGAGCAACACAATCGAAGGCTTCACTGGTTTCTAAGCTCCTCCACAAGTTCAATTTGACTATTTAAATTCTTATCCAGAATCTTGTCTCGAGGTTCGACTGACGGATAATCTAAAGTATATCACCTGGCGTTTCTCCATAGTTTTATGCCTCTCGCCCCTCGAAGATAGTAATCACGCTATTGTTGTCAGTCGCAGATTATTCACCACTTCAGTGAACGATGTCTTGTCTGCGAGTAGAAGTGAGTCATTAATTATCAACAATCACTGGTAGTAAACCATAAGGATTTGACTTCTCACTAAGCAGCAGGGTGAGAAATAGGTTGGGGAATTTGTGTACACGAGTGGAGTGTACTGAGGGAAGAGTCAGGATGAAGGTGCTCGCATTATCAAGGGACGTTCAGCTATTACTCCAGACTGCATTTCGGGGTAATGTGCCATGAACAGGATCGATCCAGCATCTTTTGCGAAATTGCTTAGCTAGAGCCCCGTGCGTTCGCCTGCCAATCCGGCTAAGAAGTAGCGTGCTTGCTGTTGGTGTCGGTCACTAGCCACATGCAAGGAGAGTCAGGCATGCGCAGGAATTGACTACGTTTCACAGAATTGCAACCACTCAGTAGAAGAGCCATTTCGTACGGGAACAGCTACGTATTGTTGCGCATCCAAGCTATTGCCTTCAATGCATAGCTCCTTTTCCAACACCCCCCACACTTGACAGCCTACTGGCAGTGCTGGATTTATGCACCAATTTATCAGCTCCCGCCTGCAATGCGCAGCTACCTACCCCTCCCCCCAAACCGTCGTTGAACGAAACTGCGGTAGCTACAACCACTGTACGACGAGTACGCGGTTATTACAGCTGACAATGATGATGATGATGATCGTCCACCTACGGTCATGCGCCCAACACAGACGTACTTAGAACCCATTGCTTAGTCATTCTACTCATTTTTTGGTAGTGATTGAGTAATTTTGTGCCCCAGGTCCATCACGGATCAATGGCACGTACATTACAACGCTTCGGCTCGAAAAGTCGTTACCACCAAACGACAATTTAATTTTTTTACTCAGACGTACTGCTGGAGTTAAGCGTAGGATGATAACCGGTGGATGAATTTTATTAGGAATCTTGACTGCGACTTGGATTGTTATTCACTCTAAGGAGGTAAGGCTGCACTTATGGGTTCGTTGAAATGTGATGTTTCGTTTCCTCGTACAAGTCAGCCTTGGTGCATCCATTTTCATGCAACAGCTGCGTTACTGGATTATCTTTGTAACCGCAAGGAGTTTCGATTGTCACTGGCTTACCCTATCTATTTATGTGGGGTGAGTTCTCACTGCACAGATGGGCGGGGTATACGATTGGCATTCACGTGTGAATCTCTACTGATGGTTGTCTGGAGGGTTTTGCTCTCCGCATTGTTGTGCTCGCCGGTCTAGGCTACCACTCATCCTAAGCCTATCCACTTTTTCTCCACAGGACGTTCCTGGGTTGGTTTCAACGCTTACAACCCTCGTCAGTTTAATCGGCAGCGCAAAGTACCACGGTATTCCCTCCTCTCAAGTCCAGAATACGCCCACATCAACCTCCGTCCTTTCAACCTCACTTCCTCTGCAGCGGACACCTACTTCATATCACGTCCCTACACCGCAACGTCGCTATCCCACAGTATCCCCTGTGATGCCAAGTCCTTTGACCCCTTCCATGCAAACAAGCACAAGCAGTAGTGGAGGTAGTTGTGCTAGCACTCTTGCACAATCGTTGCTGAAGAGTAATCTGCCACCTCAACAAATGGACGACTTGCTATCCAGCTTGGAAAGCTTTGCACACCAGGCCAGATACAGGTCATCGAAGCCCCCTACCATCGAGTATTACCAACCTTCACGGTCACAACCGCGTACTGACGAGCGGTACGATCCTGTGGTAGTCCATACTGATTACTCCGATCGCAGTAGCGATTCACCCAATGTTTCTACTCAGAGCTACCGCGGAATTGTCCCACGTCCGAATCAGCTAGACGACGTGTCTAATTGTTCCACTTGTAAGTTGCAATGTGTGCTTTCCATGCCACTTCCCGAAATGTTTCCAGCTGATTTTAGGCATTGTGTTAGCATTTCTGCTAATAGTAGAATATTCTTTTAATATGAATGAGCGAAGCTAATGACGAATGCTGGTGTAGATTAAATACAGGGAAGTAGGCCTGAAAATTAAGGAAAATCGCTTATGTGCAATGTTCACTGTGTTCACTCAGCGGTTGACCAAATATTGTTGGATAGTAAACGTTCATCCTCAGCACTATTTCGGTGCACCGAAGTGTTAGTGTAGCCAGACGTTTTTTCCTTTTTCTGGGCAATTGCAATAATTCAGTAGAGTTAAGTGGTTACATCAACCTTTATTTCATGGGAACAGCCATCGTTAATTGTGAATGGAATTTTTCAGAAAAGGTACAGTTTGACGTTTCCATCTGAGTAGCTGCATTTGGTCAATGTATTTGGGCTCAGTGCTTTCTGATAGTACTGTAATAATCCTCTGTCTCAGCTTACTGTGAGGCAGGAAACCAATAATTGCGTTTCATTGCTAGTAAAAGCATATTAACCGATCCTACCTGTAATCTGGTGGTAATTTATGGTCCTCTCCTATCCTGTCTTCCTGCAACAAAACAAGCCTTTCTCGTCTTCCGCGTCCAAGTTTTAAATCAGGTTCGGGGTGTAGCCTTTCTCAGTTAATCAGCTATAAACTATGTACCAAAGGTACATCTGTTCCAGCTGCTGCAGTTTACGTGGGAATATAGTCAAGTGTTGGTGAAGATAGCATGATCAGTTGGGTAGTATCGTTTACCTTTCTGAGGGAACGGGAGACTTAACAGCTGAGCACTGAACGCAATAGCTTTGATACAATAGCACCACTGCTTGCGTGATTAACCCATGTTTGCCAGTGTCATTAACCACTGATGAGTTGAGTCCCAGGGTCCCCATCCCAGGAAATGGCAGTTAGTCCGAAAGAGCTAACTGGAAGCCTTCTTACGACCATACCAAACCATCCTGTAGAGTTATTTATGTTAGTGGGAATGGCCAACATCTTTGAGGGGTCTGAACCATGAGAAGCAGTATCGTTCGCATACTCGATGTCTGTGACCGACTGCCCTCGGAGCATTTTTATTCCTCACGTTCTGGAGATAGGTAAGGGAGTTTCAAGGGGCACGTCAATAACAAATTTGAAGAAAACTGATAAGAGGGGTACAGCCTGACCTTACACAGCGTGGTGAACTCACGCGGAAGCTTGCAATATACTCGTATGCGCCCACGGAGGCTCTCTTACACCTCTGATCGCCGGATACTGTTAAACTTCCTGACGATCAGGGGTCAAATGCACTTTTCAGGCGTTGGATGAGTGACGCTGTCTTAAGGCGAAGATATAGTCTACGTATCCTAAACAAGAGCGAAGCCTAGCTTGATTCTCTCCCCGTAGTCATCTGATCTGTGCAAAAAATGCCACAGAGCACCTTTAGAGAGCCGCGACAATGAAGTTCAGCGTACCATTTTGCCAACTCTGGTCCCTATCCTTCCGCGCTTTGGCAAGCACGCTGTGTGCTTCATGAGCGTACTATAAGTAAGCACCAGTAGCTACTGTTATTGCTTTGTCGTCTACGAGCATGCTGGTGGTGGTGGTTTAACGCATCACTAAGGCATGGAAGTACCGACTGCTCGACACATTCTCCTACTGTGTGCTTCAGGATCAAGATAAGTCCTATATTTCAATCTGCTTCATTAATCACTCTTGAGAACCCACTTGCAACGTTCGCTAAGGTTTGATATTTCAAGAAGAGACCGATTGGTCGGGCATTCTGACCCACCGTCAGGGATCTCTATATCGTCTTGTTTGTTGGTTTGCACTGGTTCCTAGGTATTTCTAGGGTCCGTATTTGACGTGGGAGTTGGTAGAGCAGGATGGAACGCGCACAGAGATAATGATGGCACGTGTTGACGATATTCCGCGGTGTTTTGGCTCCATCAATAATAGATTTGTTGGTGGTAAGATTTAACACATAACATAACTAATCGTTCAGCTGTAACACCTTCTCGAGGCCTGGTTGCCATGACGCCCGAAAAAAAAGAACTGTCAGGTTGCCCAAGCCTGGACCGAAACAACCGGGATGCAGGGATTGGGTTTGAGCTGCAAACCCTTGTTCAGCAAGTCTGCGTATTGACCACTGAGCTCTGTTTGTTAGAGGTATTTTTGCTTTGCTGTAGCAAGGTGATAGTGCCAAAAGCTTGGTGAACTTCGGTGTAGTAGTCATGCTACTTCGTGTGAGTTCCAGGAATTGAATTGGATCCTTCATTACGGATGGGGAGCGTAATAGCACACTAAGAAACATTTCTATAAACTACCGTAGCACCGCTTCAGCTCTGTACAATCGTCGTAGTTTTTACTTCACGATTATTTTGAAAAAAAACAGCCTAGAGGGCAATGGTCGAAGTGGTTGTGCATTCCTAGAATGAGCCACAACACATCCTTGGCTACTTTTCTGTATACCCCCTTAGCTTTTCTAAAAGATTTTGCTGGACAAGCCAGGTAATTGTCACTTTTACGCGGCCTCGATATCGAAACTTGTCTTATAGATCACTGGTTACGGTTGGTCTCAACAATAAAAAAACAGCTAGAGGGCAATGGTCGAAGTGGTTGTGCATTCCTAGAATGAGCCACAACACATCCTTGGCTACTTTTCTGTATACCCCCTTAGCTTTTCTAAAAGATTTTGCTGGACAAGCCAGGTAATTGTCACTTTTACGCGGCCTCGATATCGAAACTTGTCTTATAGATCACTGGTTACGGTTGGTCTCAACAATAACTAGCTTGGGCCTCGACAACTGAGCTACATCGTCCACCGTTTCGCTGGATAGATCCTTGTAAAGTATCACCGTTGATCGGACTTATCTCGCTAGTCAACTTTGGGGTGCCTTCTATGCACTGCGACGTTCTGGGCCCCGTATCGTTCGCCAGGCAGATATTTGCCTGAAGGAGGATGTTCGAATACCATAACTTATGTTTATGGTACACAGAATCCAACTAGACAGTGGAACGTATACACCACAAGCGCACAAGTTTCTGGCAAGCCTCCATTCGTCACACAAGCACTACCTGAATGCGAGCATCATTGTTCATGTGATTGGTCAACGAGCCACATACTGAGTGGACAAGCAAGATCGATGCAAGACGAAGACAACACGCTTGGTGTTCGAAAAGTGCACTGGCTAGCGCCTAGTAGCTAATAATCCATGCTTGAAGATAATCCAGTGTATACCAGTAAGCGAGAACGCAGAGTAACGAGTGCTCTGTTGAACGCTGTCATACTGTTTCTTTCTGCTTTTGTAACGACTAGTTACTGCGGTTGATCGTGCCGGAACTCTTCGCAGTAGGGAAAGTTTGTAAAATGCATCCTCTCGAAGGAACACTACTCATAAGGTTGCAGAAAGTGACCGGTTTCAGCTCTTGTTGGAGCCTACTGGGTAGGTGTAGTCCACGAGCTTCCGTCAACGTGATGTTCTCTATGGAATTCGCGAAATACACGCATTTGTACACTAATCTGCTCTTAACGGGCTTCTCGATCCAATCTCGTGTATTTTGTCCTTCAGCTGAATATGTATGTAGTTTTCCACTCAGGTGAAAGTTCAGCCTTCAAACCAACTCCACACGCAATGGCATTTGCTTAGTCGACCGGAGCCGTGTATACACTGTTTGTAGGCTCGGGTAATCTGCTTGCATATTGTTTCTGTGTTTCAGGGGCAGCAAACGTCAACCAGCAATTTGTTTGAAATTGACGGACAAACGATGAACTGAAATAATATGATTTCCACGTTGGAGGCTGTCGGGTATGCACGGTAGCCCGGGTGAAAAAACAACCTGAATCGGTGAATGGGGTCGATAAAATGCTTGCAATCGCCTCTGTGGTTTCCAATAGTGTTGTGCCTTAAGTTGAGGTTTGTTAGTGGCGCTGGAGGAGTTTATGGCACAGTATTGAGGCGTCAGCAGGATTTCGCCTATCACTCCATCCGTGCCCGTCTCTAAACACCGCGATCCACCTGACTCATAGTATAGGATTATTTCGTCCACGTAGGTCATGCTTGAATGAAGAGTGAGATGCCATTAGGGAGCTGGTAGTTTTTACGTGTTAGGTAAATCGGAATGTATGAGTTTTAAATTCATTCATTCTTTTAATATCAAATTTGGCGTGCGAAGTAGTTGGTCTAGTTTGTTGGTTTGGGACTTCAGTTTCGTAATTGCAATATTAACAGAAAAGGTTTTTTGGGCAATTTCGTGGGTTTTGTGTTCCAGTGAGACTCCATTCTCTCTCTCACTGTTACAACTTGGTAAGTGCACTGACTCGATCTCACGGTATGCGTATGAAGAATGATGGCAATACGTGTAAGTCAAAATGAAAGTTATCTTAATGGAAAACCCGATATTGAGAAACTAAAGGGATTTTTTAGCTTAATACTCAAAACTTGAATTCACAAGTACATTATCAAAAAGACTTGTTCCACTGTATACCTTTGATACGGTTTGATTCCCTCATATAATAAAGCTGGTAGCCTCGTATTATTTTTTCATTGAGTTTCTGTTGCCAAATACATCCGTATTTTTGTGACAAATCTCAACTTAATTGTTTTCAAATCTTTATTAGTCTTGGTAAGTTCCGATGAGTTAGACTGACTCGCTTCGCACTGTGCACAGGTTAGGGTGAACGGTTTATAGCATCGAACTTTCAATATTCGCGTGCGCCTCTGACTCTACTTACCACCTGTTGGAGTCAGATGCCTTAGTGGACTCAATCGTAGGATATAACTTGCTTCGGAAGAATTCGTTTCTCACTCCTTGATTGCTTTACTAGCGGCTACGCATTTTCCACCTGTCAGTGCCGTCTTGCAGGCTTTGGATTTATCCATGGTTCTGGTGACGAAATTTATTCTTGTCACATTCCATCTTGTTGCCATTTCTCTAGGTCCCACAGAAAACCGTCCGTCCTTACACTCACCGTCAGAATCCGGCTGCCATCGGAGGTTTTCCGATTCCGTTCACGAGTACGTTATTGATCAATATAGCCGTTGTGATCCGGCTGCGTTAGACCTGAACTATACCGTACACTTATCATCCCTGAATTTCCACCATCTTAACTTTCGTGCTTTTTTAATTAATTGGTATTAATCCGAGGGAGAAAATGGTGATGGTCGAAGACCTATGTCACAGCGACACTGACCCGTTTTAAACCAGATGCGGAACTGATTTGGTTCTTCACTTGATAGCGTCATCAATGAACTACTCGCGACGGATGTAGCTTCAAACTCAGCTTCCTGTGATCGAAACTCGAATTTCATACCGAACCTCTGCACTCTTCAAATACCTTACTTATTGATTGCATAACCGTAGTCTTTGAAACGTCTCCCACATCCAAGGCTAAATTTGCAAGGCCCACCTCAAACCACGGCTCCTTGCAGGTGAGCCGCCGGCTGCTTTGACACATCGGATATAATGCTTCGCTTGTTGGTTGGCTCTTGATTTAGAGCTCATTCGTTCTGTGATCTTTGTGCAGAACTGTCTCACTGATGTCAGTTGTCGCTCAACCAGGTGCTACACCGTAGCTTACTTGACAGTGGTGGTTACCAAAAACTTTTGTCAAACGGATTGTCATGATTGAATTCTGTGATCCAACTGTATGGATTCCGTCGTGCAATGCCCCTATAGTTTTTTTGGCAACACATCTCCAGACGCGGAACTAACGAAAGTCCTTCCGTCCTTTGATACGCATTTTGCACCCACAGTGTAAGGTCATGCTCGTGGGCATCCACGCCACTTACAACTCAGGGGGAAGCACTCGAAGTTGTGGAGCTTTTTACGTACCTTGGGACTTGTATTAGTTCTGATTGTAGTGTGACAGTGTGAGGCTCGGGTCACGTTTGCTAATTTGAGACACCCATGGCGTCAAAGCAGTATATCCCTGATTCTCAAGAGACGTGTGTATCAGGCTACAGCGCTCGCTGTGTTTTATGGCCGCGAGACTTGTTCTAGTTGAGCAGCGGGACCGAGACATCTTCAACCCTTCAACAATTGTAGTTTGAGGACGATAGCTCGCGTGGGTTGCTGTCGGAGAATCCGTAACGAGGCCAATAGAGCGAACTTTCGGGTGTGCAACGGGGACTTATTGGAGAATGTGTCCAGCACAAGAAGCCACGTTGGTTAGGTTGTATATTGCGATAACTTAACCGTCGTTTTCCGAAGAGAATGCTGTTTTCCGTGCCCAATTCAGGGTGGCAAAAGCAGAGAGGTGGCCAACCCTTGAGCTGCCAGACGGGTATGAAAGAGATTGCGAAACGTTTGGGTGTCGTCGGTTCTACTCGCCTTCCAGGATGGAAACCGCGTGATCCCTACCGCGCCTGGTTGGAGACGCTGCAAGATATGGCTGCTAATCGATGTGAATGGTGTTCGTTTGTGTCCACGTTGCCTGAACGAGAGTCTGGAGGCGTAGACACCCCGGGATGTTTGGAGTAAGGTGGCACTAAGTCCCTCCCTTGTCCACCTTTATTTTTCATCATAAGGCTTTCAAATAAATCATGGTTGTATCGCAACGGTGCAACAGTTTTAGAAGCTGATGTCATGTTGTCCGTAATGGTGATGATGCCAGACGCGCTATCGAACTCAATGAAACTCGAACATTCCCGGCATAGTTTTTTCAGACGAATAACTGTGGGTGACAAATCCGTTTGTTCGAATGATGTGTCGATCCGGTCGCGCCTACCACTGTGATCCGACTGTGTGCTCCGCCATTTGATCTATTGCATCGCCATGCTCTGTTTGCTGAGATGAGCCCCGACTGGATGATAGCACGAGATGGACAGCGCATGATCTGGAGACGGAGCACGAATAGCGCGACAAGGCATCTTGTTTGCTGAGGTGCACACCGTCCCCGAAGTCGGGGTTTCAAAGCTCGTAACATCAGTGACGGGAGATACTAACGACGGCCATGTCGCGCTTCAAAAAGGCATATCAATGGTAGACCAGTGTTTAACAGGCTACAGTTAAGGACTGTTCTTCATAGTTGCGAGACAGGTGACAGCACATAACTTAGAGACGGATCCCGGACAATGTGCCAAAAGACTTTGGCTGCAATGGTGGATATCGCCCGCGAGGTTCGGGTATCAAGGACTCTTTAAATCAACAATAGAGATACTCATCGGCATATGTTTTCGTTATTTCTCTGTCCCCCCATGAAGTGTGGAAGTAGGCATCTCTATTTTCTGAGCCACATAGAAGTATTTGCTGGTGCTCTAGTTTACTGATTTTTCTGTGGTTTCGAGGCTGATACAACGAAAATTAAACTTATCTGGATATTTTGCACGAATGGAGTCACCAGTAGCAGTTTCGACCGTTGTAGAGGACACGTAGTCGCTTCTATAGGAACTACAATGTAACCAACAAAACATTGATCTCGAACCAGGTGGTCCTATTGCTCTGATAGCAAATTCGCTTTACGTCGATCACAGGAGAATGTACACGTACAATGTATATGCAAGTGATCATGTTCCGTCCACATCCTGCTTGCAGTGATGGATCTTGCCAAGCCGCTGCCAAACCGGACTGTATGCAGGATCTACCACCGAACCGTGATACCCTTCACTCCCCCACTGCGACCACCCCAAATTTGCTCCCTGGTTCTTCCCTTTGTGCGTCTACCTCAGGAGCAACTGGACTCGGGGGCGCGGCACTTAACCGATCTAATGATCTACAGTCTTCCTCTCCTGATGAGCAACCCCCAGACGACGAGTGCCTGTCAAAGATCACCAGAATCCTTGGCAGCCCCACTACTCAGTCGTTTGTCGATCCCGCCTCTGTAACCAAGTTCACCGACAAGGCTGTCGAGCGACTGGAACAAGAGGTAGGTCCTCATCGGTCGATAATCCTACGTTTCTCGTGTGCTGCTGCTTTTTTCCCGCGAATTTCCTGACACCCGGATTCTTTGGTTTTCAAAAGTGGCATAAATGTATACTGCGAACCTGTTCACTCTTATTAACAGGCAATAAATTTTTATTGAATCTTGTTTGATATCTACTAGCGTAACTACGTGTTTAGAAAAGGCTTTTCTGCTATTCCTTACCTATTTGGATATACATATGAACTGATCCTACTGTCCCGTCAAAAGGCAAGCGCACGATGAATAAGGGAGATCGTTGCGTTTTTACCAAACTACAGAGGTATCCAGGTTGAATGTCATTTACGTGAACTTCATCTAAAACCCTAGTGGTATCAGTACAAGGCGATAAAAAGTTATAATTCAGACCGTTGGAATATAAACGCGCCACCACAGAGCGCAAGTATGAAGAATTACGTTTACCTCGAGCTGAAGAAAATTCACCCCAACTAGGCCAACGGCCGGACACAATATTAAGAGATGTACGAATGCCTGTACAAACTGCACATACTTGATAATAGCTCTGACCCTTTCAGATACGATCAGTTACCATTGTGCAGCACCGTTGTGCATTTGTACGCAAGAGCGTCAGCTTATGAACTAACACTCCTGATTTATTTCTCGTCATAATTAGTTTTCGTCCCGATAAGTACCTCCTCTTCCCTCGGGCTACCGATTTCCTTGTCAGTTTCAATGTGCGTGCTGTTTGTATACAGGTACGTCCTTGTATCCACCAGTAAAAGTTATCCGAAAATTTAGCCTCGACGACTAATAATAAGCAGTCTGTTGAAAAAATGTAGTAGCATGTCGTCAACAGAGCTAGAGAGGAAGGATACGGATAACTTTGTCTGGCATCAGCGGATGCGATGCACTCTGGCAAAAACCTGTGGTCGGCAAATGCCAATTGATACTCTGATGCAGGGCCTACGCGATTTAAGCAATGGTGCTCCAACAGAGAATCCTTTTTCTGTTCTATTTAAATACCCAAATAACGATCCACCTCTAGGTGACTTGCTGATACCATTTTAATTTGTTCCCATAGGTTCACTGGATCATCTTTGTTTTCATTCCTTCAATTAACCACTTTCTAATTTGAAGGCTCTCGTGGAGTCCCGGAAGTTCGAAAAACTTCAAAGCGTTCTATATGGCGAGCTTTCAGCTGAGTCCAAGAAGTTGCGAGCTCTTGTCCGTATAAGCGAAGCGAAGTTGGCCATTCATCGAGAAAAGTGGGTAGCTCTTTTTGTTTCAATAATTTTTGTTTGTCGTAACCCGTTCATCACCTCTAATCCCCTGACCCGTACTAGTTCTTCCCTGGTGTTCATTCATAGCTAGACGTCTGTTGATACGTGTCATCAGATCACATGCCTGAACAACATGTTGCTGTTGCTACGTAGTTTTGATTCACATTTATGAAGACTGGTAAGTTACATGCACCGGTTGTAATCTGATTCCGAGTTGGCGACGCATCGTGTGGGCTTTATGAGTATCATTGTGGGCAGTCCACAGGTCATAAGTTACTGCTGCGTGTTATGGAAATGATGCGTTGACGTTTGATGATTGGCACTAAATGTTCTTCGCCGATTTGAATTCTGGCGAATTCCTCATGTTTTATACTCCCAATGCCTTATCGTATTACCTATGGGGGGTTTCATCTTGACGATTTTTTCCGGTCGACCGCCAGCAATGGACGGGAGGATCTTTCGGTGTTGATGTGAGTTGATCAGGCAGTCTTGGTGTGTTCAGCGGATGACAGATTTTTGGTGACCAACTTGAAGATGGAAGAACTGATGCTATACACTTGTTTAGCCTTGCGTTGGATTTCCTGCCCATTACTCGTTCGAATTAGACAAAATGGGTTCTGTTATTTTCCTGCCGGAATATATGGAAGTTAAGCACCATGTAAAAGGCAAAGTCTTCCTTAGTTTTGTTTACAAGTTCAACAAATAAATGTTTTCGGTGTCGATAGTCTTCAACAAAAAGCATTTTTGTGCCCTTAATGAGATACTTTCTTGGCAGGTGACTACGTAGTTCACAGTGCAAAAGTAATAAGATGCCGATTTCGCAGTTTTTTGGTTTTCCAAACTGAGGTGATGGTGACGGCTTCGCTTTCCTCATAGTGCTATTTTCGCCTTTTTTCATAACCGGCGCATTCAAACGTTTTTTTCCCGCTTTTCACAGACAAACCTCCCTCCAAGAGCTTATGGACGCAATCGAAACAAGGAAGCAATTACCAAATCTGTCTTTCTCCGACGATGTAATATAGTCCATTCTTGCTGCATACCATTGTAATCTACCGTCTACACACCTCATGATGTCGGCGTGATCTCTCTGGTGGTCTTCAGGTTCTGTTGCGATGGTAGCTCCTGCGCTGCATGCTCTCTGAGTGTGTTTCTCAGCTATTCGTCTGCCGCAACACCGATTCCCCGGTTAAATGCTGACCTCCTTGGTTTCCAAACTTTTGGTGGCAATTGACTTTTTCTGCTCCACCTCCCTTTGTCTTATTTTCCTACACAACTAATCAGTTCTGTACAATTCTGCAATGCTGATAATTGGGAAAGTGTAGCTTTTGGGGAGTGATTGTACAGTTGTACACTTTCTAGACATACAGATTGATTGACATTGTTTGCGCGTTTTAATCGTTTCCTCCGCATTATGCGACGTAAGATGTCGTAAATCGCACTGACGATTTTGGATGTGATAGTCACATTCAGCAGTCAGTTGGGTCACCTTTAGGGCGGTTTGATAAATTATCAAATCCAACCTGTAGTGAGGGGTCATCCGTTGCCATTACTGAGGTTTTTGTTTACCAGTCTGGTGTTTGCTACCGACTAACACCTACTTACATCGTGCGAATGATTTATGCACCAGTTTGCTCAGCTGTGTAGGTCGCTCAGCACCCAGATGCTGAACAGTTCTGGAGTGGACAGGAAGGTTAAGCAAGCCAAAGTTTTCTCGAAGCACATGCTTTCTGTGGAGAGGTTAACATTCTGAGCCGTTCCTGCTCTTAGGTTTAAAATAATACCGATTGAAAACCTGAATGAAACGTTGTACGCCGAAGCTCTCCAACTTTATATTAGTTCAAGCCCTCAGCAGAAGTTGTCCCTAGTGAGCTGCGCACAATGTCACAAGCGCAGCAGGACTCATCCGGGCAACGCGTTTACAGTCTAACTGGATTACATTTTGTTGCTCGTGCACTTTCCACTCCTAGTTGGGTTCTGTAGCCTGATGTCTGTCCTCCCGTGAACCTTTACCTATTGGGCCGCAATGAAATCACGGGAGATAGGTTATCCAACCCTCATTATCTTTATACAGCTGGCGTCGAAATTGTGGTCACTGTGTTTTCCAAGCTCATTCTACCAAATTTCTAGACGTACACCGTGGAAAAATGCGAAAGTGGCACAACACAGTTACCTGACTTTTATTGCTGAATGAACGTAGAACAACTTGTGTGCTGGATGGTCGCTTCAGCAAATAATATGCCCCTTCTACGTCGACGAAAAGCAACCACGTTGACGTGGCGATCGGACCTGGGTGTTGCAATGGTTTTGTGAGCTACATCACCGGAAATTCAATTTGCAAAGTACAGCCACGCCAAGGTCATCAGTTGAAGGACAGAACCCTCCGTACCACGGTTGACAATGGTCTTATTTTTTCTCTGCAATAGGCCTGAAGGCTGTAAGGTATTTCCTCCAGGTGACCAGCATGTTCATGGAAGCAGCGATGTTGCCTTCCCCGGAGGAGGTCCGGGTTAGAAAGAGTAATTGTGTACTGTTGTCTCGCTCTGATAGGGCCAATGCCGGGTGATGCATTAATCTGATTTGTGTTAGCCGCTTCGATATACGGTAGTTCTGAGGCTGAGGAAGTTGTGTTCTATCGATACCTGTCAGGGGCGCTTTGGTCACCAAGAATGACACGTGTTGGCAATTGACAGTCGAACCACAGCCCCGAGCAGACATTTGGGGCAGACATGCCGAGTGCCGTCTGTTTATGGTTAACTGGTGAAATATTTCCCAGCGGGACAATTTAAAGATTGCGGTGGTGACGTGGGTTTGTAATGCGCTTCAATATGGACTGCAGAGCTGTCTTCTTGCGTGATGCTGGCGGTCGCATGTAGTTTCTGACGTACATGTTGCATATTGTTAGTGGTGCTTCACCACTATACAGCCATATTGGTTGTTTATCGGTTTTGGTGTTTCACGCGCAACACCTGACCAAACCAACCAATCGTGTGCGTGCAAGATAATCAGTCACCTGATTAAGCAGGACCGCTTCTGTATGAACTGATCGATAGCCGCTTGCTTATTGTTTTTGATTCCTTATATGGATAGCGTGATGTGATAAGGAAATGCCTTCGGGCGTCACTGCGCCATGTGTTTAAAGTGTCGGTGAAACAGAAGCGCACAATCGTTCGTGTGATGCTTAGCGATTCCGACACTGTCACTCAGCCTTTCGCCCAAATAACACTCGATTTTGTGTATTGCTGAATTCAGTGTCATCGGTGGCCGTGGAAGTCCCCGTTTCCGTCTCCCTTTCTGCTTGTTTATAGGCCGATTACTCGTTCCCGTGAGCAAGCCCACTGCCTACGTACTTGCAGATTTGTTGCACCTCAGGGTGACCAGAGCGGTTCACGAATGATATAAGTGTATCGATTTTATGTAGGTACCTGTAGCACAATTATTGTA